AGATGCCTCGGAATCAAACAACAACCACATGCAATCCTTGAGTGCACTAGGTGCTCAGTAAGGAGTATCTGTTAATTAAAATAGTAATAATTTAGGCAATTATACAAAATTGTCCCCTGAAGTCTCTTAACAACTTTCAAAGGGAATGCGTTTTGTTTTCCATCCTAAATTTGAATTTGAAAAAATGGGAGGCTCAGTCAGAGAAGTGGAGGTCTTTGAGCCTTAGCTCCTGGTGGCAGATCTGGGGCCAGAATCTCCCCCTCCTCCTCTGCCTGCTTCTCTAATCCAAATATACATTCTGGGAACTCACACCAAGTTAGGAGAAAGAAAGACCACAAATAGCTTCTAGCTAGTCGTATTTCCCATTTTCTCATTAAATAAGTATGAAAATATTTCGATGCTCACTACCCTTTAGATTTAGAGTTGTGCTTAAAGGGTTGAGCTCTTGTAATAGGGATGCATGGTGTTTCTTAAGAAAAAAACCTTTTTTTTTATTAATTACACTTTATTCACTTTGCATCCCCCTGTGGTTCTCTCCCTCCTCCCGTCCCAATCCCTCCCTTCCTCCACCCTCGGCATGCATGCCCCTCCCCAAGTCCTCTGATAGGGGAGGTCTTCTTTTCCTTCCTTCTGATCCTAGTCAATTAGGTCTCATGGGAAAGAAGTGGGAAACAGTAAGATCTGGAGAGGACAGGAACGCCACAAAGAGAGCAACAGAACCAAAAAATCTGAGCACAGGGGTCTTTCCTGAGACTGATATTCCAACCAAGGACTATGCATGGAGATAACCTAAGGCCCCTGCACAGATGTAGCCCATGGCAGTTCAGTATCCAAGTGGGTTCCATTGTAATAGGAACAGGGACTGTCTCCGACATGAACTGATTGGCCTGCTCTTAATTACCTCCCCCTGAGGGGGAAGCAGCATTACCAGGCCACAGAAGAAGAAAAGAACCTTTAAAATGCAACAGTGATGGAAAATACTCAGCCTCTCAGAGAATTCCAGAAAACATTCACAATTCTATTTGGCACCTCCAAAATCTGGTTATTAAAAAGCTTTATCCCTTTATAGTTCAACTAGAAGTATTAATTCATGTACATTAGATTGAAATGGCAGAAAAGGAGATCCACACAACAAATGTCTCAGACACAAATTCTTTAGGTCTCCGTGTCCTTTGTTGTATTCATAAAACCTTTCATTAGCTCTCTCAGTGCCAAAGTTCAGTTGATTATCAGGGTTCCGACTGGTTCCCTTCCAGCCTTCTTCCCTTATACCCAACTATTTAAAGCACGAGTCCTGATCTTATACTTGGACCCACTTTTAGATGCTAAAATAAAGAAAATTAGGGGTTCTGGGATTGCGTATGTTCATGTCATGCTTAGAAAATTGCAAGGGTGTCACAGCCCTTGTGTAGGAATGTCTTGGCTATAATTAATCATGGTAAAACTTCCCAGGAAGAATCCGGTTAGTTGCCTTTATACAATGATGAACAAAAGATTTCACATGTAAGAATGAATGAAATTATTCCATCAATAAACTTTATCCAGGTCATAGCTGGGAAATGAACAGTACAGTCTTTCTAGTTCAAGATATGGATTTTCTTCTAGAAATTCTTTTGATTTCCTCTGTGATTTTTTTTTTTCTTTTCACCTTCTCTCTTCCTTCTTTAAGATCCTGCTCAAAGATCCTCTCTAAGGAATTGACTCCTGAGGTCTTTGCTCAGTGGGCATATGACTTGTCTCCTTGGCCCCCACACAAATACAGGGTCAGGGACACTCTCTATTTATCCATAGCTAATCGAATTATCTCTCTGAAAACTAGTGTTGGAACTTCAGAAATGTCATGGAGAACTGAGCATTTCAAGAAAAAAAAGTGAATCTAGTAATAATTGGCTCTTGTATGAAGAACAAGAAAAATTGGTCAGGAGACTGAGACACAGAGATAGATAGATGGTAGGTAGATAGATAATAGACAGATAGTAGGTTGAAGATAGATTACAGAGTATACAAATCATTAATCTATAGAGAAGAGAATGAAAAAGGAAACCTCAGCTGTCCTTTCTGATTTCAGAATTTTGTGGGCTTTTTCATTGCACTCTGCCCCTTCATTTCATTACAGGTTTTTGTTCTTTATAAGTTCACTCATTCTCTTTTTGCTTTGTTTGTATGGATAATCACGGTGGATATTGCTCCTTGCAGCTGAACGACTCCAAGACTGATCTGTGTCACAAACTATGACAGTCAGCAACATCTTCAGTGTGACAGAGCAGAACTCATGCTCCTGGGACTAGATTCAAGAGGCAGAACTACTGCCATTATCTGCGCCTTGCGTTCTCTGTCCCCAGTGCTTCAGCATATAGACACTTCTGCTCTGTTTATCAGACAAAAATAGATTCTAGAGTTGATAGCCCCCTCAGAGAAGTGTGACTTCCTATGTGGGATAGGAGTCTGAAGTCTGACAGGGAGTCCAGAGTGCTGGAAGGACTCCAAGCTCCCTAGACACATCACTGGCCAGGCTCTCATCTTTCCTTTCCTGAGGTGTGAATTTGATCTTTTTGGTTGGTCATCAAGATTGCCATATTCAGCTACTTGTGGCACAAAGGGCTTTGCAGGAGGACAGCCCACAGGATTCTATTTGAGGAATGCCAAATGGTTCTCCAGGGCCCAGCTGGTTCTGTGGTCTTTTGCACAGTGCCTGAAATGTGCACAGCTATTTTTGTTGAGTTATAATATTATTGCTCACAATGAAATCTAATATTAAAACAGAGAACTCTCACACCCGCCAGTTGTGTGGATTTGGGAACGAGAAAAACTTCTGTGCTTCAGTTTCCTCATCCATGAGGCAGTAGTAATAGTACTCAAGCCACCAGTTTCTTACAGGGTTAAGTGTGTGTGTGTGTGTGTGTGTGTGTGTGTGTGTGTACATGTATTTAGTTTCATGTATCACAGCCAAGACTTGATTGGAGCTCTTGATACTTCTATGCTCATTTGCTGGGATTTTAGGTGTGCACTACCATGCATGGAAAGTTTTTTTTCCCATTAATTAATTTATGTAATAACTTTACAGCTTTATCACGGCCCCTTCCCACCTCTCCTCGAAGTCCTACCCTGACATTTTCTCCTCCCACCTTTTCTCCCCTTCTGTGAGAAGGGAAGGCCCCCATGGGCACCACCCCACCCTGGTACATCAAGTTGAAGCAGGAATAAGCACATAATCCCTCACTGAAACCCGACAAGGCAGCCCATCTAGGGGAGAGGTATCCAAAGGCAGGCAACAGAGTCAGACACAGCCCCTTTTCTAATTGTTAGGGGACCCGCATGAAGACCAAGGTGAACATTAGCTACATATGTGTAGGGGGCCTATGTCCAGACTGTGTATCCTCTTTGGTTAGTGGTTCAGTCTCTGTGAGCCCCCTTTGTCCCAGGTGAGTTCACTCTATAGGTCTTCTTGTGGTGTCCTTGACCTTCCACAAGACTCCTTGACCTGAGCTCAGCCTATTGTTCGGATGTGGGTCTCTGCATCTGTTTCCATCAGCTGCTGGGTGAAGCCTCTCAGAAGACAGCTCTGAGAGGCTCCTGTCTGCAGGCATGGCAGAGGATGGCAGAGGATCATTAATAGTGTGAGGGGTGGCTCTTTCTCATGATGTAGATCTCAAGTTGGGCCAGTCATTGGTTGGCTCTTCTCTCATTTTCTGCTCCACCTTTATCTCTGCACTACTTGTAGGTGGGACAAATTTTGGGTAAAAGATTTTATGGGTGGGTGTCTCCTTCTTCTACTAGAAGTCCCATCTGGTACAGAGGGTGGCAACTTCAGACTTCATATCCCCCTTTGCTAATAGTCTCACCTACAGCCACTCCCATAGACTCCTGGGAGCCTCCCCTGTCCCAGATGCCACCCACTGAACAATGATGGGGACAATGCTCCATTGTCTCTCTCAGTCCTCCCTTTTCTTCCCATACCTGACCCCCTCCTTGTTCTACACTCTCCCACTTTCCCACTCAGTTCTCTCCCTCCATCTGTTAATAATAAACTCATGTTTATTTAGGTATAATTCATAATTGACATACATGTAATTCATCCATTTTAGTGTAAAGCTTTAAGAGTTTGACAAATGCATCCACTTGTATAACTACCACCACAAGCAGAATAGAAAACGCTGCCGTCTCTTTAAGATCTCCCATGTGTTGGTTTGCACACAATCTCACTTCCAACTCAGACCCTGGCAACCAATAGTCAGATTTTTCTTTTACAGGTCTGAATGGTTCAGATCTTTGAACATAGATCTTGTAATAAACTGTGTTAGCATTCTGTAACCTTGTCTTTGTAATTATAGTGTGTTTTAAGCTTACCAAATGGTTGTTCAGAACTGGGGAGATGGCTCAGTTGGTGAAGTGCTTGCCATGCAAGCATGAGGCTGTGAGTTCGATTCCTAGATCCCACCTACAAAATCTGAACATGGTGGACATCATGGCAGCGGAGAGGGAGAGACATCTGAATCCCTGGGAGTCACCGGTCAGCCAGCCCAGCCTCTCCTTGAGCTCCAGCACAAGGAAAGCTCAAAATTTAAGCTAGACAGCACTTGAGGAAGAACACTGGAGACTGACCTCTGGCTTCTATGTAGGCATGTTCAGTTACCATCACGCAAATACACACACACCTGTATACACACAGACACAAAAATCACCGCAGTATGTGTATTTTTCTTCGGAAATGATGTAAACATGACCAAGAGATGAAGTTATCTGGACATTTGTTACCATATTTTTAACACTGTTACCAAGAAGATGCTCACAAATATTACTGCATGATCAATGAATAAGTTTGATTCCACACTTATTCCGTAGAAAAATTCTCCATGTTACTACTCACTCATCAAAAGTGGTACCCAACTAATAATGTCGCAATCAAATTATTCAGGCATTTCTGAAGAGTGTTGAAATGCGGCAATTATACTGGGTGAACACCACCAATATGAATCAGCCCACGCTCATTACAAACCAGATAGAAACATTTAATCACATGGCACTGCTTTTGCCATCATTTTGCCCATTCACATATTTAAATTTGTTTATTTCATAACATTTTTATTCCATATGTTTTGTAGCAGATCTGACATGATGGTGAGGCTCAGGAGCAAGATCACGAAGTCCTCGAAATCCAATTTATTCTCTGTGTGCTCATCAAGCTCAGAAAGGATGTCTCGGTACTTTGGCTTGGATTCTTCTCTCTGAGAAGAAAGAATAAGTGAGCCTATCTCGGGTATAAACTTTATTCAGAGAGGGTAATGAATACTAAGTATATTATTCACGATCTAGCACGGCCAGTGTCATTACATCAGCACTAGGCAAAATCCTTCGTGGCTTGTCTCTGAGAACTCTTACACTGATCTTACAGCAGAAGCTGCTGTACTCCATCTGTGGGTGGTCCATCAGTCAATTAAATAACTTGCCTCAAAGTAAGCAGCTTTTGCTGTGTAGTCAAGATTTGTGGCCTTATCTGCCTGGTTCCAGAGCTACACTTTTAACTAATAAGTTATTTTGCGTTTCTTTATACACAGAACTCCCTATGTTTTCAGATTTTAAATATGTAAAGTCTTCTCTATAGGTGGTACTTTTTATGTGTTCCCTGGACTGTGAGATTATTCAGAAATACAGAATAAACTGTGCTAGAAGAAAGCATATTGCTTTGTGCCATTGTTCAGCATTTAATCTGATTGTCAATCACACCCAGGCTCATAGCTGTCATACACAGATTGCAGGAAAACATCTGAACACCATATAAATGGAGAGCCTTTTCAGTTTCAAATATTTTATAAAACAGCTGGAAACATTGATGTTAAGCACAGAAAAGCCATTTGAGTCACTCCGATACATAGCTGTGTGTACACTCAGTTAAGCCACAAATTCTCATCCATGAGCTGGCTGCAAAATTCCAGGGATACTTGAGACATTTTTGGAATGATGGCATATTCCTTTTACAGTCTAAATCCATCCCTTTTTTCTCTAGCCTGTCTGCCCCCATAGGTCACTCCTCAACCAGAGCAAAAGGGGCTCCCTACCCATTTGCTCCAAGAAAGCTGAACACAACTTAGAAAGGGTCAGAGTTCAATAAAAGATAGGATTTTCCTCGTGGGACTGCCCAGTTTTCCATGAAGCATGTAAGTCTGTCTGCTCCCTCTGTTTTGCATATTGAGGAATGGGTGGGTGTGTAGGGTGCTGCTAAGCTCCAGTCACTGAAGGGTTAATTAACCAGCCATCTTGTTTTAGAATATTCTTGGCAATGCTTCCACATGCTAGTTTTATTGTAGCTTACTGGTGATTGTTAGGACTAGAAATTGTGCTTAGGCTTTTGAGAAAGGTGACATTCTCTTTAGGACCTAGGCTTGGCAAAAAAAAATGCCACACAACTTACCGGAGAGCTCCACAGAGGGTTTAGAGAGTGGTTCTCAACCTGTAGGCCGTTACCCCTTCGGGGTCAAATGACCCTCTTACAGGGATGGGAAAACAGGTAACTATATTACAATTCATAACAGTAGGGAAATTGCTCTTATGAAACAGCAATGAAAGTAATTTTATGGTTGCAGGTCGCCGCAGCATAAGGACTTGTAAGAGACGCAGCATTAGGAAGGCTGAGAACCAGTGGTTTAGAGGAAAGGTTTGATCAGGTGTCAGAGGTGTGTCTCTTGCCTTGCTGGGCACTGCTGCTCACTTGCCTGCCTAAGTGACAGAGAGCTGCACTGTTGTGCTAAGGCAGTCCTTTGACTTTCCAGGTTTGATAAGGTTTAACTGCCGCTGTTGATCCAGAGAATAGCCTCACATGAGCTATCCTCAATTGCCCTGAAATATGGCTCTGCTCCTGGCACTGTTCACCACAGGGATGTCATTTGGGCCTGGGTGTGTCTGCCATGGAAACTGGATCACTCAATATTTTTTTTTATTTTTTTTAATTGATTACAGTTTACTCACTTTGTATCTCAGCTGTAGCCCTCTCCCTTAACCCCTCCCAGTTCTATCCTGCCTCCCTCATCTTTTCTCCTGCCCTTCCCTCAGTCTACTGATAGGGGAGGTCCTCCTCCCTTTCCCTATAACCCTAGCTAGCCTATCAGGTCTCATCAGGACTGGCTGCATTGTCTTCCTCTGTGGGCTGGTAAGGCTGCTCCCCCTTGGGGGGAGGTGTTCAAAGAGCCAGCCACTGAGTTCATGTCAGAGACAGTCCCTGTTCCCATTACTAGGGATCCCACTTGGAGACTGAGCTACCATGGGCTTCATCTGTGCAGGGGTTCTAGGTTATCTCCATGCATAGTCCTTGGTTGGAGTATCAGTCTCATAAAAGATCCTTGGGCCCAGATTTTTTGGTTCTGTTGATCTCCTTGTGGAGCTCCTGTCCCCTCCAGGTCTTTCTATCTCCTCCTTCTTTCATAATATTCCCTGCACTTTGCCCAAAGTTTGTCTATGAGTCTTAGCATCTGCTTTGATACCTTGCTGGGTAAAGACTTTCAATGGCCCTCTGTGGTAGGCTCCTGTCCTGTTCCCTGTTTTCTCCCTCTTCTGATGTCTATCCCATTTGCCTTTCTGAGTGAGGATTGATTATCTTACCTGGGGTCCTCCTTCTTGCTTAGCTACTTTAGGTGTACAGATTTTAGTATGTTTATCCTATTTTACATGGCTAATATCCACTTATAAGCAAGTATATACCCTGTGTGCCTTTCTGCTTCTGGGTTACCTCACTAAGAATTATCTTTTCTAGATCCCACCATTTGCCTGCAAATTTTGTGATTTCCTTGATGAGTAGTATTCCATTGTGTAAATGTATGTGTAATGTACCGCAATAGCTATATCCATTCCTCCATTGAGAGACATCTGGGTTGTTTCCAGATTTTGGCTATTATGAATAAAGCTGCTATGAACATGGTTGAGCAAATGTCCTTGTTGTGTACTTGAGCATCTTTTGGATATATGCCTAGGAGTGGTATAGTTGGATCTTGAGGTGGCACTATTCCTAATTGTCTGAGAAAGTGCCAGAATGATATCCAAAGTGGTTATATAAGTCTACATTCTCACCAGCAATGGATGAGGGTTCCCCTTTCTCCACATCCTCTCCAACATGTGTTGTCACTTTAGTTTTTGGTTTTTCAACGCAATTCCCATCAAAATACCAACACAATTTTTTATAGACCTTGAAAGAACAATTCTCAATTTCATATGGAAAAACAACAAACTCAGAGTTGCTAAAAACAATCCTGTACAACAACAGATCTTCTGGAAGTATCTTCATCCCTCATCTCAAGCTGTGCTACAGAGAAGTAGTAATAAAAAACTACATGGTACTGGCTAGAAACAGAATAGTGGATTGATAGAATTAAATAGAAGCCCCAGAAATAAACACATATACCTATTGATACTTGTTTTTTGACAAAGAAACCAAAACAATACAGTGAAAAAAAGACAGCATCTTCAACAAATGGTGCTGATCTAACTGGATGTTTAACTGGATGCAAATAGATCTGTACTTATCACCTTGCACAAAACTAAAGTCCAAGTGGATCAAAGACCTCGATATAAAACCAAACACACTAAATCTCTTAGAATAAAAAGTGAGGAAGAGCCTTGAACTCATTGGCACCGGACTTCCTGAACAGAACACCAACGGTGTAGGCTCTAAGATCAATAAATGGGACCTCATGAAACTGAAAAGCTACTGTAAAGGAAAGGATACTGTCGTCAGAACAAAATGACAGCCTACAGATTGGGAAAGGATCTTCACCAACCCTGTATCTGACAGAGGACTAATATTCAAAATATATAAAGAACTCAAGTTAAACACCAACAAAGTAATCCAATTAAATAAATGGGGTACAGAACCAAACAGAGAATTCACAATAGAAGAATATTGAATCACAGAGAAACACTTAAAGAAATGCTCAACCTCCTTAGTTATCAGGGAGATGCAAATCAAAACAACCCTGAGATTTCACCTTACACCCATCAGAATGGTTAAGATCAAAACCCCCTCCTTTGGTTTTCCCTACACCACAGGACATGAAGCTGCAGGCATCTTCCTAATGAGTGATATTTTCAGAAGGATGACAGTTTATATCAGGGTCATGTCCCACTCATTCCTAATTCTCATGCTTGTTAAGTGCCCTCTGAGGGTCTGACCCTGGGTGTGGGGCTTTTGTCCTCTCTGGGCTGTACCATTTATTTTGGCAAGAGATACAGGCAAATATGACAACATGATTAGGTCCCACCTCTCTATTTAAAAGCCTCTCCAAACCGTTTATCTCAAGTTCTACCAAGTATTTCTGCTCAAAAGCAGTTTTTCTTTAAAGATATTTTCAAAACATGAGTGAATACTACAGAATATTTTTAAAATATTTTAAAAAGAAAAATGCAAACAACTACAGAAGAATGCTAGCTGTCACTAATGTTGCTTTCTAGTCATTTATGTGTGTGAGTATAAAGAGGGGTTGAGTGTGTTATGTACATATTTGATACGTGTGAATATATGTGTAAATGCAGGTAGGTCCACGCTACAGTGTGCATTTAGAAGTCAGATGATACTTTCAGGTGTTTGTCCTCGTCTTCCACCTTGTCTGAAGCAGGGTGTCTTTTTGCTCACCTTGAATAAACCAGGCTAGCTGGCCAGATTGCTCCAGGGATTCTCCTGCCTCCTTCCCGTCTCACTACGGGAGTGCTGGGATTACACGTGAGTGCTCTGATGGTTCTGGGGAGGCACACTCTGCTCCTCATGCTTGTGTAGCAAGTGTTTAAATCGCTGAGCCATCTCTCCAGACAACTCCAGCTATTTTTGTATATGATGTACCATGCATGTACACTTGCACACACACACACACACACACCCTTGCACACATACACATTTTGATATAACTATAGGTTCATTGGAAGTTATACCCTTGATCTAACTCTTCCCAGCCAGTGACACCTTATATGATTTAGTCCACTAAAATTGTATGTGCATACAAATACACATACAAAGACACTTATAGAAAGATAAAAGCTGTATTTTAATATCTTAGAGCATACTGGGAACTTATAGACAACTTTCTTATAATTTTTGTTCTACCTGTGATTAAATATTGGTGGTTTAGGTTTGGATGTAACTTTCTTTCACGTAAGATTTCCACAGGTCACTATCACCCAAAGTATGAGCATATGAATATGACATCATGTTAGCACATAAGAAAAATTACATAAAATAATAGCTAACTCTTGCTCATACTTCAAATATTATTTGTATTTTAATGTTTAGAATCCCTTCTTTTGGTTTCTCACCCCAAGATGGTCCCAGTTTTTTGCATTTTCACTACAGCTTTACTCAACTGGAATTGCAGCTATGAGCCAGCATGCTCACAAGTTAGCATGTTCGTCAAGTTCACTGGACAACTTACACACAGGAGATACTCAATACAGAGTGGTTGATTGGAATAATAACATAGCATCCTGGAGCTGGAGTTCCTTCCTGCTTGGTGCATGCCTTGTTTATCCATGCAGGTTAATTCTCTTACCTCTGTGAAATTCCTAAATTGGGTTTGTAGCAGATTCTTGGCAGTGGATTTCCCAAGTTTACCATCAGCGTCAGAAGAGTTTCTGAAAATCAGAGCAATAGTAGCAATCGCTTTTTCCAGATCTGAGCCTTTCTTCAAAGCTACAAGAGAAGAAATGTAGAGTAGAGAATTAGAATCGAAGATGGTTTGTGCAGACATGAGATTTTATCTTCTGTAGGAACTGTGGGGAATAAATTTGGTCTTGTATGTTAGTGTGACCCAGTGCTTTTTTTATTTTTTTATTTTATTTTTTAAATATTAGTTACAGTTTATTAACTTTGTATCCCAGATGCAGCCCACTCCCTCAGTCCCTCCCAATCCTACCCTCCTTCTCTCATCCCCTCCCTGCCCCTTTCTGAGTCCACAGATGTGGGGAGGTCTCCTCCCCTTCCGTCTGACCCTAGCTCATCAGGTCTCATAAGGACTGTCTGCAATGTCCTCCTCTGTGGCCTAGCAAGGCTGCTCCTCCCTCAGGGGAGGGGAGAGGTCAAAGAGCCAGCCATTTAGTTCATGTCAGAAATAGTTCCTGTTCCCCTTACTAGGGTACCCACTTGATACTGAGCTACCATGGGCCCCATCCGAGCAGGGGTTCTAGGTTATATCCATACATTGTCCTTGGTTGGAGATACAGTCTCATAAAAGACCCCTGTGCCCAAATAAATTTGGTCCTTATGGAGCTCCTGTTCTCTCCAGGTCATATTAACTCTCCTTTCTTTCATATGATTCCCTGCACTCTGCCCAAAGTTTGGTTATGAGTTTCAACATCTGCTTTGATACACTGCTAGGTAGAGTCTTTCAGAAGCCCTCTGTGGTAGGTTCCTGTCCTGTTACTTGTTTTCTCCTACTTCCAATGTCCATCCCATTTGTCTTTCTAAGTGAGATTGATCATCTTACCCCGGGTCCTCTTTCTTGTTTATCTTCTTTAGGTTTACAGATTTTAGTATGTTTATCCTATCTTATAGGTCTAGTACCCACTTATAAGTGAATATATACAGTGTGTGTCTTTCTGCTTCTGGGATAACTCACTCAGGATGATCTTTTCTAGTTTCCACCATTTGCCTGCAAATCTCATGATTTCCTTGTTTTTAATTGCTGAGTACTATTCCATTGTGTAAAAGTACCACAATTTCTGTATCCATTCCTCCATTGAGGGACATCTGGGTTGTTTCCAGGTTCTGGCTATTAGGAATAAAGCTGCTACAAACACAGTTGAACAAATGTCCTTGTGTACTTAAGCATCTTTTGGATGTATGCCTAAGAGTGGTATATATATAGCTGGATCTTGAGGAAGCACTATTCCTAGTCGTCCGATAAGGCACCAGATTGATTTCCAAAATGGTTGTACAAGTTTACATTCCCACCAGCAGTGGAGGAGGGTTCCCCTTTCTCCACAACCTCCTCAGCACATGTTGTGACCCAGTACTTGAGCACATTTCCCCCTTTCTTAGAGTAGAATTTGAGAATATTTGATGCCGTGCTTTTGAGAAATGTAGAACAAAAGTTCCTTTCATAGCATTTAAGTTACTTAGGCTGATATTTGACACCTGCTTGCCATGTGGACCTAGAAAAGCCTGTTACTTCACTAAGCCTTGGTTTTCTGAGATGTAATTTCTTTCAGTTATTTAACAAATATTTACAGAGTACCTACTGCATGTTGAGCTCAGCTTTTGATATTAAAGATACCTCATGTAAAGACTGCAAATCCTATTCTTGCACAATTTATATTTTGTGTTAGATGTGGTGTCACTTTTTGTGAGTATGATAAAGGGACAAGGCATCAGGGCAAACTCTGACATAGTAACGCTTGTAACAGTTTTATTATTATTTTTTCAAACATTGTGATATTCCAGTAGTTTCTCTGATTTAGAACCCTTGATGGGGAGGACAGTGCTAATTCATTCTGTCCCAGTGGGTAACACCTAGTGCACACAGAGAGATGCAAAAAGAGCCATTTGAACAACTCTGTAAAGTGAGCTACCTTAGTTACCCTAGTCACCAATACATTTGCTAGGATAAGATAATCCCCCCTTACAGCTATGCCATGTTTATCTTATCTCCAGCTAGACAACACTCTTTATGAAGCCAAGAGCCAAGCCTTTGCTCTTTTCCTGTATCACCAGCAGCACCAATGCCCGTGTTACATAGTAGGGCTAGTCAATGCTGTTGAGTGAATGAGTAAGAGGAAAAGAAGCCTCACAGCTTTACTTTCAGGCAATACACAGCCATCACGGGCTCAAAGAGTACTCAGAAGGCTCAACACACTGAGGTGACCAGATTAGATGTGACCTTCACTCACATGTATCAAGAGGATATATATGAATATACATGAGTATCTGATTTTTATATTTTTAATAATCCATGAAAAATCTAGTTTTTCTCCATTTCTAGCATTTGTCTCTGTCACTATTTATATTGCAGCCACTTCTGACAGGTGTTAATAATATCTCAGCATGCTTTTTGTTTGTCCTTCTAATGACTAATGATGCTAAAAATCGTTTTTTTGTGTTTATTTGCCATCTGTATACATTTCTTGATGAAATATCTATTGAAGTCTATTAATGGGCTTTGCCCATTTTCAAATGGAAAGTTTAACATTTTTGATTTCTGGAAATTCTGTATCTCCTTCCAATATAGGTCATTGTAGAATAAGAGATTTGCAAACATTTTCTCTTAGTCCATGGATTATCTTTTAAATTTCTTCTTTTAGTGTGGGTGCACGTACGTACGTGTGTGTGTGTGTGTGTGTGTGTGTGTGTGTAAGCAAGGGTGCATGTGTTCCATGGTATGTGTGTTTGGGGAGTCAGTGAGCAACTTTAGGGGTCCACTTTCTTTTAACAAAGAGACTGAACTCAGCTCCACAGGCTTGCATGCCAAGGGCTTTTAACTCACCAAACCATCCCGCCCGATGTCCCACCTGCCCTTGTAAAAATTTTCTTAGCAGGGTCTTATGTAGGGAAGAGGTATTCTATTTTTATGAATCTAATTTTGGGGGAAGCATTTGTCCTATTTTTCTCCTAAAAGATTTCTCTTTCTACCTTCTCCTCCTCCGAAAAACATCCCTTATGTTCCATTTAAGTTAATAATCCATCCCAACTCAATTTTGACTGATGTGTGTGACTCACAGTAAGGTTCTTCATTGAACTACTTTTGCCAAAAATCAGTTGAGGGGCTAGAGAGATGGCTCAGAGGTTAAGAGCCCCGGCTGCTCTTCAGAAGACCTGGGTATGGTTCCCAGCACCCACATGGCAGCTCACAACCATCTCTAGTTCCAGGGCTTATAACACCCCCTTATGGCCTCCACAGGAGTCAGTATCACACAGTATGCAGAGATATGCAGGAAAAAGCCATTCATATAAAATTAATAACAACAACAACAACAGCATAGGGTAGAGAAGAAGAAAGAGAAAAAAAACTTTGATGTAAGATCCAAACTTAGATAAAGACAGGCAACTTATTTTTTTCTTTTGAAACAGGTTCTCTGCAGCCCTGGCTGTCCTGAAATTCACTTTGTAGGCCAAGCTGGCCTTGAACTTAGAGACCTACTGGCCTCTGCTTACTGAGTGCTGGGATTAAACGTGTGCACAGCTGAGAACTTTCTGAAACTGACCACAATAGCACATCAAATAATCCTAAAAATTAGTAAATGTGGTTGTTTGACATGAAAAACTTCTGTACAGTAGGAAAAGCAATTTCCAGACTGAAGTGATAGCCTACGGAATGAAGGAAAGTCTGTGTCTGACAGGCACTAATGTCTATACCTTCAAATTTCAATTTAAAAAGTCAACCAATGAATAAATGGGCTAATGAATTGAATAGGTGGTGCTCAAAAGAAAAAAACAAACAAACAAATGAAGAAGTATTGGTAAAAATTCAACATCCTAATACAAAATCACTTGAGCCTGTGGGGTGGGGGGCAACAGGAAGGGGAGGAAGAGGGAGGAGAAAATGTGTAAACATGTGTGTGTGTGTGTGTGTGTGAGAGAGAGAGAGAGAGAGAGAGAGAGAGAGTTTGAGCACATGTGATCATATGTGCATTTTCCTACCTCTGATCTAGTCTACGTTCTGACTCTACACTATCTTGGTTACTGTAGCTATAAACAAAATCTTACCAATAAAGAGATTGGCTCTGGTTACTTCAGCCATTACCCACCTTGTTTTGGTTATTCTAGGGCCTTTTGTTTCCAAATAAAGGTTAAAGTATGCTTCAGAAACCTTGCTGGGATTTTAAATACAAATTGCACTAAAGACCACGGTAGAGGCAAAGCGTTGTCTTCGGTTTTTGGCAGCCATTGCCAATCTAAGTTGACTTTTAAAATCAATGAGCTCTAGGTTTCTCCCCACAGCATCGTTTCCTCAGTGAAGAACAGATAGGATTTGCTGGTGACAGAACACTGGGAAGGAAATGTCAAAAGCATGAGCTGATGTGCTCCGGGTGCTGTTTGCCTGTCTTGCCTCCTCTTGAATCTGCAGTCCTCTGGACGGTGCCAAGCTTCAAGCAGGAGCCTTGCAAAATATGTGTTGAGTGACTGGCTATAAAACGTACTTTGACTTCTTCCTCGTGGGTCTCGTTTCCGGTTTCAGAGTCTCGATTTTACGCTCTAGGGATTTGTGCTTTCTGCTCATAGCTTCTGCTTATCCAGGTCTGACATGCTGTCTTTCCTGAGATATCAGCCTCAGAGAAATGACCCTCTGTTCTTAGCTCTCTCTTGCTCCATCCTAATTATCTCTTCCACCAACTTCTGCCACTTCCAGGGACCAACGTTTATACCTCAAGTGTCTGCCGTGTCACTGTTCACTAAGGACGGGGGGATGTGCATCTTTCTTACAGCTTCTGCTCTATCCGTTCATACGTGTGCATGAGTGCACATGTACACACACTGGGTGGTACTTTTATCTCAGGTTGTCCTAGCTTTCATAATTTTAACCTTAAATTTAAGATGCTGAAGAATGAATCCTATGTAAGCACTCTTGTTTGGAAGAAGCAATTGCCTGGATGAAACACATTATCTTAATTCTTGAGAAAATGAGTACATGAATAACTTGTGCTGGTAGATTTATTAATCAGTATTCAAGAATAGCTAGATACGTTGTAGGAAGAGCTTCTCTACTGAGTCTGAGACTGTGCTTGGAGGATGGCAATTGGTAATGCTCTGCTGGATGTGCCTGCCTGGAGAGGAAGGAATAATCTGAGCGAGTGCCTTAATAATGATGGGCATCTTCCTTTGTTACTACATATGCTTCAGGTCCCTTTCAAACATCATCTTATTTAATGCTTCCTCAAAGCCACAGGGGTGGGTACTATTTGTGTCTTAGATTTACATATTAGGATCTTATGCTTGCAGAGATTAGTGATAGTAAAGCTATCATGCTTACAGATGAGGAAAGGAACGCTGGAGGGTCTGTGTAACTGCAAAGCCAACTTTGGAATATGTCTATGCAAAGTCATCCCTGCTGGTGGTGGGAGCCAGGCATCTCCCAGCCCTGGTGGAGTTCAAGTGTGGTTGTTCTCTGAGGTGGGACTCCATCTGGACTATCCAACTTCACATTCTTATCCTATCTCCCTTATAAGACAGCATGCATTCTTCCCCCAACTGTAAAATAGCATATGCTTATGGTAAAAACAGAACTGGAAATATTTAAAATGAGAGGCAGCAAAGAGTTTGTCCTACCAACACTGATGATATTTTCCTAAGGCCTTTTTTGTGTCCTGTCTTCACAGTTTGCTTCTTCCCTTAATAAGCCCAGCAGGTTGCCACCTAACTTTTACTCTGCCTCATACAGACTCATGAATTAGTATGTGAAGCATATTTTAAGGGGCCATGTGGGGTTACAAAAGCAAAGGCTGTCTTGTGGTTGTTTTGCTTAGGGATTTGGGCCTGGGGATGGCTGAAAGGCAGCTTTTCCAGACTGCTATGTGCTACCTGCTGAAGTGAATTTGGAACTATGCACAGTTCATGCCTATTCTACGCAGCTCACAAGTATGTACCATCCAGCATTTATTCTGGGCTCAGGACAGCGAACAATTTCAGAAAAATGCTGACCTCTTGGAGTGTTCACTCACTGTAGTGGGCCACAGTAGTGAACACTCCTCCCTGGGTAGTGGATGTGGCTCAACTCATTTAATGTGAGTGCCAGTCCTTTGAGGTAGGTCCAGTTTATTGATGAAGAAACCCAAGCATAGAGATATAACGGCATGGTCTGGAACTTTGTATGTGATTGTTAATTATTTTGCTCCTCAAGGTCTGCTTGCTGTCTTTTAAGAGCAGACTATCATGTACTTCAAATGTTTCTCTGTAAACTTGCCTTCAAATAATCCCTATTTGACCAGTAAAATTTCTACACCCAGGCAGGGCAGAAGAGAGGTAGGCACGGCCAAGGTTCAAGGGGTTGGAAGACAGAGAGATCACAGGAAGGGGAGAGACAAAGGAGAGACAGGAAAGCCATGGGATAGATAAAGAAGAACCATGTGGCTGGGAGGAATTTACCCTGAGGATCAGTGTGGCTGGAGAGAAGCAGCCCAGATGGAAAGCTTGTGCAAGTATTTATACTGTTTTGGACGGGAAGTCTCCCAGATAGGAATGATTAGAGCAAATGGTATGGGGTGTGGGACTGGGAGATAAAGACATAGTTTAGGGGGTTAATATCTGCCGAGCCCCAAATGAAATAAGGCTTATTAAAAACCTGTCAGTGTCTGTGTCTTTTATTGATATGGTAGTGGGTTGATGATAATCACCACAATAATTATAGGCTATTAACAATAAACATGTATAGTCTTTTATCTTCTGGAATGTAGAGAGGTTAAGTAAATTACACAGTCACGAAACCAAACTGGCTCCTTTCTCTAATGCTCACTATGTCTAAGTTGTTTTTCAGGCAATTGTATTCTTCAGGATGCTTTCCTAAACCTTAAAAAGGGGCCACAGTTCCCTCTATTGTACTTCTCTTATCTACTGAACATCTCTAAAACTCTCACGCTTGAAACTTTGTATAGTCTCAGTTATCTTTTAGATCAGTGTGACCCAAAGAAATACATCGTAAGTCACAGTTGTAATTTAAAACTTTATCACAAAGTAAAAAGGCCAAAAAGAAATGAGTAAAATTGATTTTAATAATATATATTACTCAACCCAATATATTAAAAATTCCAACAGGTAGTTAACACTAAGTGCATAAAAAATTTTATACCCTATGCTTATTAATTTTTTTCAGTTTTATAATTTTTATTCAAATTAATTACTGCCCCAGTAGCTCCCTAGTGCAGGTTCAGGCTTCATGTTCTCTGAAAGCAGTGATGTTGTATTTGGTTATTAAAGTTTTCTATTGATATATCTTTCAGTAAAGCTGCAGTTAATCCCTAAACAGCTGTATAACCAAACCACCACAGAGAGACTAGGATTTATTTATTTAAGCTAGAACACAATGCTGGGCAATAGTTACTCCATCCTAAACCTCCAAGCCCGCATAGTTCCTACCATTCAGATTTACCCATTATATTTGCTTTTAGTGATATCTTAGGTCCAGTTCATTTCTCTATGTCGTTCTAAGACCTCTCCTCCAGCCTCTGTTCTCCCAGCTTCTCTCCTGCCACTTCTCCTCCTCCTCTGCCTCCCACTCCTTCCTCTCCTCTGGCTCCTTCCTCAGGATGTCCCACCCTATCCTCTCCATAGCTCAACATTGCAGCTGGTTGTTTTAATTGACATTTTAGAGAACAAATGGTGGCATGTTTACACAAACTGGAAACAGGTGATGCTTAGAATAAGTATCACAATGCACTGTCCGGATTAAAACCAAATAGTGGGGGAGAGAAATCAGCATTTGAATGAACAAGGGTAAGTTATATACATTCCAAAAGAACTTTCCAACACAGTGACAACACTGTAACTACTTTACAGTCTTTCTTGGGCCCTGATATGCTGCGGGTCTCAGAAATACATGCAATATGCATGTTAAACTGAACTGATAACTTCATTTTCTATGTTTTCTTCCTCCTTTTCCCTAGAACATAGGATACTGAACATTAAGCACTGGATTTGGTGATTTTCTAGCAAGTCAGTATTGTAGAAACACCACTCTCAACACTGTGAAGTGCCAGAATCATCTCAGTTTAGATTTTTTTTTTTCTCATATAAGTTACTTTTGCAAGTGAAAAAGTGGAGTCTTGCAGAACACCGATCATCTGCTCAAGCATGTTCAGGTAGTGTAGACAGACCTGACAGCTACTAAGACCCCACCGACTACTCCCCTGGCCAACAGTTCCCCCCAGTACTCTACTGCCTTGGTATTAAATACACATATGTACTTACCCTACATCTCTTCTCCTTAAACACTCAAAGAGCAGAAGTCCAAGCAACATGGAGAGAAGATGGATTCCATGAATGTTTAGAGTTTCTAGAACTCTCTCACATCTCAGGCATCCTTGATCTTATTAATTTTAACTCTGGGCCTGCTGTTCTGGAGCAGGGGAAACACACATGTCAACCATTCCATTCCTTACCTTTTATTGAAGACAGTTGTTTAGATATTGAAACGCTGCCAACAAAATAAAAGAAACAGTGACTTTTGAGTCTGAACACTGAAATCTGTGTAAAGCAATCAATGATTTAAATTATTATTTTCAACAGATGTCTCCTCCTTGTGTCTACTCAAGTACTTACCACACAGTGAAAAAGTCCATGACCAAGGTTGGCCCTGGCCCACATATCTACAAAATCCTGGATCTTATGTGACCCTGGTACTTAAGTTCCTTCGACTGGAAAGGGACAAAGGAGACCATTGTGCTGGGAGCCTCTTTTGTCTTGGGAAGGTGGAAGTGCTACTTTCTAGCACTGGGAAGCCACTCGTAGATGGTGAGGCTTCCATCATTCCATGTTCCTACATGGCTGCTGGGAGTCAAGGTGTCACAGACCTGAAACTCTACTCAGAGGGAAAAGGAAAAAATAAAAGCTTGTTTATAGAAGAGTTAAAATGCTAAGCCTTTGAGTGCATTTGCTCTAGCTGTTTAGCCTACCTACCTAACCCGGGAGTGAGATGCATTAGTGGGTGGTGGAGACATCTTCTCTTGCATCTTAATGTCTAGTGAAAAATTCAGGTATTAGACAGGTAGTGCAGTACAGAGCAACAGATATACATACAAAGAGCAGAGAAGGGCTAACCTTGTCTACAGTCAGGGCAATGGGATCAGTGAAAGAGAAGGGGGAGTTCTTCAGGCAGAGGGAACTCTGTGCTTAAGGCCCTGAAGGAAGAGAAATGGCTTGATGGAAGAACTCAAGCAAATGGCACATAGTTGGAAGCCAGAGAGAAGAATCAGAGGGAGAAGGTAAGGCTATGTCCAAGGTTACAAGAGAATGCTGAAACTTAGAGCCTTATAAAGCAAGGTGAGTGGGAGCTATGTGTCAGATACGTATTTGGAAAAACATTTCACCTGCTAATCTGAAGGGAATGGAAAGTTGTGCATGGGAGGCAAAAAGAGGGCAGTTACTTTAAAAACAGTGAAACAAAATTTGCACGTTTTTTCACATCTCCCACCCCCGAGTGTTGCAAGACAAAAGAATGACAGGATAAGGTCACCAGTGAACTACTGTTGACCCTCCTGAGGAGGAAGCTCTGCAACTGTGTTTGGCATCAACTACTAGAGGCTTTACTGTTTTCCTGGTGGGGAAGATCCACTTTTCTCACTTGTAGGAACTGGCCACCTACCTTTCCCATGTGTTAGCACTCCAGGCTCTTCTCAGTGAGCCCCTCCCCATTTCCCGAAGCCTCGGCACCATGATGATGTATCGCAGGATGGAGGAGGTGCCACCTTTTCTCCTTTCACCGTGTGCACTTGCCATGTGGCACCTCTTAGTTTTTATCTCCCTGATCGATTTTCTGTCTCCTCCATTAGTAAGTGACCCTAACAAGCCAGAGCCCTGCACTTCATCCCCCACCTCTCGCCTGACAGAGTACCTTGCCCTTGTTAGCTGTTCCAACACTGCCTTTGAAGTAAAGTTGGTATCCTAAATGGAATTCTATGAAAAAGAACTTTGTTCACTTGTTAGAACCAATTTCCATATTTGAACGATGTGAGAGTTTCCCTCATCGCAGATTCTTTCAAAGACTGCTATATAGTAGAAATCAGTACCAAGTTTAATTTGCAAATATATCTCAAGAGGCAATCAAAGATTTCTGTGTTAATTCTATCTTTCCAGTTCACAGGCAGAGCTTCAACTTTATTCTCTTTGTTTCTCCATTTTAATTTCAATCTGCACTTGGGGGGCAATAGACAGCAAGCTTTCAATATCCTGACTGTTAAGTTATGGATATGAGTATATTGGACTACATCTGCAAGTTTGCTGAAACTCGGAAAAGAGGAGTCAAATGCCACCGACCTTTTAGGCATTTTGCAAGGTGCCGAAGTAGATGCAGGGGCTTCGGAAGGACCGGGCTCTCCTCTCGAGTGGATTTCGTGGTCCTGCGTGCTGGGCATACAGCCTCCCATGTTCCTGCTTCCCCTGTTTTGCATTGGTGCTTCCTAAGCAACAATCACCTGCTCACTGTTACTGTTGTCGCTCATTCCATGACAACTGAACAATAGCATTTGAATACCTCTCCCGTCGTTTACTGTGTAGGCACTGGATCATTCATGTGTTTAATCAACATCTGATTGTCTCTTGTGGAATAGGTGCTATGCATGGTTCTGTGGACACACTGTGAAAGGGATCGAGATTTGACACAAATCTTGGTTCAGCGTGTTTACTGGAATGACTAATATTGGTTAGGGAAGTGTTTAAAGTGTGGTAGCTGTTAAAGGGTTGGTTGTTCTATGTAAGGTGGATGTCAAGAGCTCAGTCAGCCATCAGGTGAAGCATGCTTCAGGAAGTGACACCTGATGGGTACGTGTTGATTAGGTTCAAGGGCTAGTGGTTTTTTTGGAGGGCAAGACTATGATATCATGCATGCAAAGAACACAGAATTAAAAGGTTCAGTGTGACTGATGCAGCTTTCATGGAAGCTGAGGAGAATGGTGGCTAGACTATGCAGAGACATGCAGACCAGAGTGCAGAATTCTGCGTCTACGTCAAAATAAAGGGAACCCATTTGTAGCTTCACATTTTGGAAAGATCTCCCTAGTTTCCACGAGAGTAACCTTAGAGAGGAGAACTGAGTGAATGCAAGAAAGTCTGTTTTGTCCCTGGTAGTTTTAGAACTCTTTCTGTGAGAACAGGGGCTCCATTATCTCAGGTGAATTAGTCTAGCTCGGAGACGCCACGTTCAGTAACTGCTGAAGTCACGAGTGAGGTGATGTGAGAAAACAATGGGAAGCTGGAAGAGTCATCACTCAGGATTAACATTGGCCTTAGGACACTGCTTTGTCACCGCTGTCCCTCGTCACTACCGCACCGTCAGTATGACCATGTCACTCCCATTGCCTGCTTCTTTTCATTTTTTATTTTCTTTTATTTTTCTTTTTCTTGTTTTTCAGAACAGGGTTTCTGTGTGTAGCCCTGCCATCTTGGCCCTCCCTTCGTAGTCAGGCTCGCCTCGAACTCAGAAATCTACCTGCCTTTGCCTCCCGAGTGCTGGGATTAAAGGCATCCTTAGCACCATTTAGCTGCCTGCTTCTTTCTGAAAAGTGTATGTGTGTGTGTGTGTGTGTGTGTGTCCATGTGTGCACGTGTGCACACCTGCGGAAGCCAGGGGTTAACTTTGAGTGCCCTTGATTACTGTCCACGCCACAGTTTATTTTTTGAGACAGGGTCTCTCAGTGAGCCTGGGACTCCTAGGCTGCCTGACCGCAGCTCTGGGGTTATAGGCTCACACTTCTGTGCCCAGGTTTTTCACATTGTTAGGGGAGAGGCAGACTCAGGTCCTCCTGTCTACATGGGAAGTACTTAGCCGACTGACGCCCATGCCTGCTTCTCTTCATGGGTTCCCTTTTGATCTTGTTCCTCTAGCTTTTCATTAACCCTTCACAGTTTCTATACAAACCTTGGAAGGAGGGGAAGAATTTCTTTAGTTCTACCTGTTGTAATTGCCCACACTGGCCTGTTTCATGGCCAACCCAGCCTCTAGGTGGCCAGTTACTCCACACTGCTCCTGTGGGCCTGGGTTGACACTGAGCCATTTTAACTGCTCAGATTAAAACCTTAGAGTTAGGCCAGTCGTGATGGGACTTGCAAGCCTAGCACTTTAATTGCAGAGGCAGGAGCATGTAGTCATATATATATATATATATATATATATATATATATATATATATATATAATATTTGTTGTTTTGTTTTGTTTTGGCTAGGTGGTGCTGCAGAGTGGGACCCTGGTTCAAAGACCTAAAACAAAATAAACATGCTTAGGGTTGCTTTCCTTGACAAGACACCTTTGATAGATTTTGGGATCTAGCTGGGTGCCTGGTGAGAGCTGAGTTCTTGGAGCAGAGACCACTTGGCAGTCTGCTGTTGGCAGGAGGCAGCCACTGCTGTAACAGAAGTAACGCAGGGAGGGGCTGGCATGACATTTCCCCCACTCTGATCTGAGCCTGTGCCTCCCATTTCCTAAGCCCATCAATAAGCTAGTAGCAAAGAACTTGCAGAAGTTACTGCAGGGGTGGTTGCCTGGGGCATAGGCAACTGTGGGGTATGGAAAAGAAGAGACAAACTATGGCCCAAATAGTGGGATAAAGGAGGTGATGTGAGGAAATTAAATAGCAGGAATCTGCAGTAGATCGATGGTCATGTTGAGATTGAAATGAGGCTGGCAACTTTTGACGAATACACTCGTCTAAAGACAGGTGGTCCTGAGCCATTTTCCTACCCCAGAGTTTCATAATATTCTGGAACATTTAGACTGTTTATACTAGACAGTTTTAAGCTATCTTGCTAAAATATTTTATTAAAAAAATTCCCCAGTCAACTGCACCTTGGGGCAATGTGAAGACAGTGTGTTGGGTATAATGAGTAGATGGGGAACATGAATTGTGTAGGAAGCCTGCAGGGTGGGGATGGGGTTTGACAGGTGACTGAGCATTTACTGGCAAGCACAGAGGACCACCTGAATGAAGGTGGCAGCAGTAGGATCCAGAAGCTGCAGCTTCATGTATTGTTTGAGGCCATTTGTATCTAGAATGTTGCCAAGTTTTTCATGTGTGCTTGCTTCCTGGGTACAAGGACTCCTAGATTCTTGAAGAGACCAATAGCGATTTAAAAGTCATTGCCAGAGTCACTATGCTCTCTGTCTGAAAAAACACACACCAGCTTTGTCCCAAGAGAGACACAAGTAGACACAGCTTCTCATTCAGTTACTGTCATTGTCAAAGCTCGGAGCTTTGGCTAATTGGATTTGTGCTAACCGTTTTCGAAGTTCTTTGTTATCCACAACAGCCATCTGAAAGAAGGTCTGCCACCATTTACCAACGCTGACATTCAAACTTAGCAGGATTACATTTCTTACCTAAAATTCTATTTCATCCTCAGTGGATGAGACTAGATTCAAACCTGAAGCTCTGGAGTTTCAAACTTGATGTTCTTTTTTATTACATTATGTTGCCTCTTACTGATGATTTGGGCATCTAAATCTAATGAGAAATATGACCAGAATTTTCTGACTTAAGCTAGCTTCCTCCTCCATATCCCTGACACACTTCTTATTTTTATTTAGCACCTTGGATGACCTGCTTGATAAATACTTGCAACTTTCTTTCTGCTTAATGATAATGATAGATGACATTAATTTGAAGCATCTTAAATGCTGCATGTTATACTGCACTGATCCCTTCCAGTTTTTAGAGTGCTTTTTAACTAGCCCTTTTAGTTTTTGCAACATGCAAACCTCTTAAACAGTTGGAGATCCAGGTGTGTCCAAAACCACATAGGTAATAAGACTAGGGATTTAAGTATGGAGTTTTCTGACTGTGTGATTCAAGCTCTCAGCTTCTGTTTCTTCAGAAGGGACCATAAATGAATCCCTTTGTCTCAGGACTTGCTATCCTGCTTATGAAACTGGACACTTTGGAATACAATGTGTCAGCCACTGAGCTAGATACTTGCAGTGTTCAGTGCTTTTTCCTTTTTTATATCCATTCTTTGGTCTATAGAAATTTGGTTTGTTTCTGAGTCAGGACCCACTATACACATCGCCACATTTCTCCACAGTGACATTTGAATGGAATGGACTGTGGGGCTATCAGGCCTAGTAATCTCAGAAACTACCACATCGTTTTGCAGAGGATTGCTTCCACTTTATATTCCGACCCCGAGATCTGCTTCCTAATCAAGATTTGGCGTTGCCACCCTTAGAGCTTGAGTCTTTCTGTCGTCAGCATGGTCCTCATTTGTATTCTTTTTTTTTTTTTTATGACTACTGAAATCAAGGACTTTTTATTAGCTTTTTAGCTGTTTGGTGGTCTTGGGAATGGTGTTCAGCAGTAAAAACAAACAAGTTACAGATATCCACACCAGCATGAACAAACTGCCAAACCATTAACTTGAATAAAAAAAAACCAGATACATTAAAAAGTAGTCACGCAGTATGATTCCATTTATTTTCCAACAGCTCACAAAGTAAGGAAAACTAATCTATGGTAATAGAAGTTAAAATGGCGGTGGTCTCTAGAGCGGACTTTGGTTTAATAGAGTAAGGTGACCCTAGGAAGGACAGTACTCTAGATCTTGATGGAGGAGGTCTAATGAGTATAATCTACATGTAAACAAATTTTATTAAAAACTTTGCCAGTGAAATTTTTAATTAAGGTTTTTGATGTTTCTCTCCCACCAAACAGCACTATTGTTTCCAAGTGCTGAGCTCTGCTCCACTCTCCTTGTGGCTGCCCTGGGTCTGCTTTTGAACAGTGTTCCTCTCTTCATGAGGTGGGAATACCCCTTATAATCAAGAATTCACTTCTCCAGGAAATAAGTTCTCAGTTCTATTAGTGAAGAGTCCTCTTATTCCCAGTGGGTATTTGAGGGGATAATTTAATTTATTGAATTCTTCAATTTTGTTCTCATAAATCCTGTTAAATAAACTACAAAGTTGGGCTTGGGGCATTTGAATAATGTGTATTGATTCTTCCCAGAATTTAATCTAATTCCATGATTCTGCAGTCAGCTCATTTCTTTCTCTGCAGAAGAAAGCTGGAAGTGCACAGTATTTTCTGCAGGGGCAGCCTCTTCTGCAATCAGACAAGTCTCCTTCCAATGGCGTGTATTATGTAACCACTGATATGGGCGCTTCCTTCATTCCCTGTCTACTTTGATCTTAACAAGGGATGAAACTGCTGCTCATATAACTAGCTATAATTTGGTTTAAAGAAACATAAGCTTGTTCTTATATGAATTTTATGCTCACCCTGCAGCCTAGCATTTACCAATGTGTATACACACCCACACACACATATAAAGTTTTATATGTTATGGATATAGTGCTAATACAGTGCAACTAGGGCGTGATTTTTGTTTGTTTGTTTGTTTGGTTTGTTTTGGGTTTTGGTTCTTTATTTTGTCTGGACT